TTCAATGAGTCCTTTGTTATTTTAAAATAATTATATATATATATATTACCCTAGAGCAGGGGTGGGCAAACTTTTTGGCCCAAGGGCCACATCAGGGAATAGAAATTGTATGGTGAGCCGTGAATGCTCACAAAATTGGAGTTGGGGTACGAGAGGGGTTGTGGGTTCTGGGGTGGGGCTGGGGATGAGTTTGGGGTGCAGGAGATCTGGGATGGGACCAAGGGGTTCAGAGGGCAGGAGGGGGATCAGGGCTGAGGCAGGGGTGCAGGTTCCAGCTGGGGGTGTAGGCTCTGGGGTGGGGTTAGGGATGAGAGGTTTGGGGTGGAGGAGGGTGATCCAGGCTGGGATCGAGGGGTTTGGTGAGTGGGAGGGGGATCAGGGCTGGGGCAGGGGGTTGGGACATGGAGAGATGCTCAATGGGGGTGCAGGCTCCAAGCGGCGCTTACCTCAAGCGGCTCCTGGAAGCAGTGGCATGTCCCTTCTCTGGCTCCTATGCGGAGGCGTGGCCAGCCGGCTCTGCACGCTGCTCCATTCACAGGCACCACCCCTGCAGCTCCCATTGGAGCGCATAGGAGCCGGAGCAGGGCCGGTTTTGTGGCAGCACTTTACACTGCAGCACAAGAGAGGTTCCAGAGTAGCCTTGGGACCTTTTACTCCTTGAGATGGTATAGTTTTGTCATAGGAATGAGAAGTTTGGGCTCTAGGTAGGTATTAATATCTCCAGCACTCTAGATCACTAGAGCAATGCTGGCCACATCTGTCATCCTGGCTGGAAGATGATGTTACATGTGGTCTCATGGGCGGCAGGCATTCAGATTGAAGGATGAAGAAGGGGATTGTGGTAGGTCCCAGAATGAAGGCAAAAGAAGATTCCCCCATGGGATCCTAACCTGACTGGCATTTGATTTGGATCAGGCCTATCTGTAGGCCTGGCCTTATAAAATGAAAGGCTCCAACATGCCAGAGATGATGTGTCATGAGTTGCCTCTTCTGATTTCACTGCTGTAAGGGGAAATCATGTGGTGTCTTTCCACCCCTCTGGTCCCACTGCCAGGACGGCTGGAGTATGCAGTGAGTGGTCTCCCCTTTGTCCCTGTGAATGCAGGGAGAGATTATTACCTTAGTCTATTGGACCAAGTCTGTGCAGTGCCCCATGCAGTTACTTGCACTGTGTTTGTAAGACTGGCCCTGCGTTATCTCCCTCAGGACTTCTGCTTCCTGTTACCATCAGGAATACTGGGTTGGACCCTGCCTTTCTTCTTATATTTTATCACCCAGATGCAGAGCAGTGGCAATTAAATATAGCTAACAGGTGATACTGTATCCATCATATTTTAATGAGTATAAGGCTTGGGAATCTCTGCCACTGATAGCTTCAACTCATCTGCAGTAAATAACAAATCATTTTCTTGTGTGGTATCAGCTTCTGCTCCTGAACTCCAGAATGCGAAACATCACCCAATTCAGAGAGAACATTAAGGGAAACGAGGGAGTACTTAGGGAAACTAAGTGTTAAACAGAACCATCCGTCTGAGGTGGAGCACTTGAGAGCTGGGTATTTGGTATCTCAATCATGCCTGGTTTATGGCTAGCAATCCTTGAATTTGTGTGACAGCAGCCCAATGCCTTTCAGTAGATTACATCATAAATAACCCAAGCGTGAAGTGGTCAGAGAATCCAGATGAGAGAAAGCAAAAGATATGTAGAAACAAATGTGGGGTGGTGTAGTTTGATTTTTTTTTAAATTATTAAGAGAAGAGGGGATGCTGGGAATGGGTCACGGAGCTTACGCAAACAGGCACATTCCTGTGATTTTACTCCCACAATCTCTCCAGGTCAGACTTTTTCTCTCTCTGTTGAAAGAAAGGAGAAAAAAAAAAAAAGAAAGAAAGAAAGGAAAAAAAAGAACCCACACAGAAATCAATCCATCAAATGTCATTACAGATTTATTAAGCCTGATGTAGAAAGACTTTTAACAGTAACATCTTCAGAAAGCATAAAAAGAGCACTTCTGTTCAGTCTTGTGCTTTGAAAATCTAAATATATTTTTATCATATAAATAATTCTTTTCATGTTTTAAGTGCATCTGTTTTTTTTCCCTTTTCAAATTTCCATTTTACAATTGGCCAAAACTGAAGTCTGCATTGACTGAAATGAAGCCATTTGCAAAGCTAATGATGTTGTGAAGCATGTCTATGGTGAACCATATCAGCTAGATTTCAGAAAGGTAGTTCAATGAGTGCAGCATTAAAATGAGGGACAGCCTCCAGCAAAATCATAATTGAACACACCCAAGTCCTTAATGTCTGTAGTTCGGTTTCCTGATGCAAATTACGATAACGTTTCAGATGTGAACAGTTGCTTTCCAATAACTGCAGTGAGAAAGAGACATTTTCTGCCACAAAGGAAAGAATTACCATGTTTAAAAATGTAAATAATATATGTATAGAAACCTTTTTTATGGAAATGAGGCATTCAGGATTATATGAACGGTTTGGGATTTTTTTTCTTTTAAACACAACAGATAAAGATGCATCATCTATTATTTGGGACTTTAATTACAGTTCTAAAACTGGAGTGATTTTATTTGCAGTGATAAAAAATTATATCATTGGTGAAAGATTTCAATGCTGCAAAATCATACACAGAAATACATCTTAAGTGTACCAGTACACAGCCATTCTTTTGTAAATCAAACAAGGTCTTAGATAAACAGGTTTGACCTGATTTAAATTTAATGAGATACATAAGACCTTGATTGTTAATAATTGGTTTTGGGGACACCAAAACAATAAAAGCAGTAATCTCCTCTAGTATAAATTATATGAATTTATTTAGTAATCAACCAAAGAAAAAATGCCATTAACATTTTCAATTTGTTATTTAGTTTAAGTTAGTGATAATAGACAAATAATTTGAAGCAAAATTGCCACCTTTGAGAACCTTGGATTTGAGAAAGACAGAGGAATATTGGGAAGATGCATATCTGTGATGAATCTTTTTGACCACTAGGTGGTACAATCCTCCTAGGAGAAAGGATTTCTTTTTATTTTATTCATTTTTTTTTCATTGTAAGGACCATTCATAATCATCAAAACCAAGTGAAACATGGTTTTGATTAAAACAGCCTGTTGGCTCAATAATCTTAGTAATTTTAAAAACATCCTTAATGTGGAAGAAGAACACTGGAATGTCAGAAATGGCCTTGGGGCCCATTATAACAGCAACAAAATAAATAAGGAGGAGAAATGAGAGGTCATGAAAACAAAATTAAGCTAATGTTTCAAATTTTGACAATTATGAATTGTTCCTCTAAGAAGACATTTTTTAAAGCAAAAAATTCAGGCACTATTAGATACAATACAAAGGGAATAATTGTACATGTATGGGACTAGGCATGCCTTAAAAGCAAAATTTGGACTTAGATTTTTTCCCCCTCCCCTATAGCCAGCAATTGGGCAGGTCTCATGCAAACACAGACTTGGGTCTCATAGTTCCTCTGTAAACTCAACTCTAACTCCTTTATAAACCATAAAAAGATGACGACCAAGGAAAACAAAAACAAAAAAAAGTACAAGCATATTTTTGATTAAAAAAATTATCCCCCGGAATGGACCAGTTTTGTAGGAAACAGAAACAAGCAAATATAACAAAATCTGTGTTCATAACATGGCAATATAGTTAATATATACAAATATGTACAGTATAAAAATGCATCAAAGGCTTAACTTTCCATCCAACCAAGCTGCTGTGCACAATGAGAAGCAGCTTGATGTGCCCCCCTCCCTCTTCCCCCTGCCCTAAGTATACAGGCAATATATTCTGTACAGCATGCACTTGTTACAAAATGAGTGCATAAGCACCGAAACATTCTACAGATAAAGTCACTGTGATTTCTCTTTGAAAGGAGTCCTGTTTGCTTTGTTAATATAAAAAAGTGTTTACTTTTCTTCTTGCGATTTGTAGTATATACATTGTTTTTTGTCTGACCGAAGAGAAGTGAGCTTTTGATAACGCATTTTAACCTTTAAAACAAAATTCTAGAACTAACCCTTATGGTCAAGAATGTAACCTGAAGATGCTGCCAATAGCAAACTTATTAAATACCACAAGCGTTTGTTCAGAGCCAGAAATAGCTGACTGTCAAATTTACTGGGGTGGCCAACTGTGCTCCATTATTTTAAATAGGGATGGATATTTATGATTCATGCTGACATATTCAAGACATTAGGAAAAAAACAAAGGATAGGATTAATAAGTGATGGCTATGCACTAGACAAAAAGGTATATTGTACCAGAGATATATGACAGTTAGGTACCCTGAGCCAAATAAAAACTGTTTAGCTTGTCAGCTTTTGCAACCTGTATTGCACATTCCAGCATTTGCTGCATTATAAAGCCAAAATACTGCATTGTATGCCCTGAAGATTCCTGCTGTTTTTGCTCAGTGCAAATAGTGCACAGCTGTTACTTCAGCCACAGAATGCTTGCATGCTTTTTATATATATGCATATTGTACTTATATGCATATATATCTAGATATCTGTCGACATCTACATAGCTATCTTTATCTATCTGCTTATATCTACATAGATACAGAGAGATATGTAATTCCTGAATGTTACATGGACCATTTAGTACGTGAAAACCTTACCATACAAATCTTTCACATTTGAGACATAATTGCATGGCTGTTTAAGTTCTGTAAATACAACTCCTCACTTGGGGCTGATACCCAACTGTGGATTTGTATTTCAAGATAAATCAGTCAACCACCTTGCAATGAATTTGTATTTTTGCACAATTTTTTGTTTGTTTTTAAAAGTAAAACATTGGTCATTTTCCCACCACCTCATCTGGAATGTTTAAGAAAAGATATTATCTGTACTAACAAAAAAAAAAGGGGATGGGGGATGAGGCCTGCACAGGTAGATAATCTAACTCAAGTAGAAGCAAGTGTGACCTGCTAGGATTAGTATTTAATCTGCTTTATCCAACAGGGCATTTTACAAAGGCTTGAAGACATTTCACCAGCTGAGAATGAAGATGAGCTGGAAGTTGGAGTTTATTATTCTTGGTAAGTCCGATGGAACAGCTATGTCACTTTTTAAAATACTCTCAGAAGAAAATACTATACAGACACTTGGTACAAAAAGCAGCTTTACCTTAGGCTTTGTCTATACTTAAAAGTTTTGCCAGCATAGTTAAAACAGCAAAAAAACAAAACAAAACAAACTCTAGTGTAGATGCAGTTATACCAGTATAAAAGTACTTATACCAAGATAGTTTATTCCAGGTAAGCGAAGCAAAATAAGCTATTCTCATATAGCTATTTTTACCCTACGGCTTTTACTGGTATAACTATGTAATGAAAAAAATCATATTAATAAACGACATAGTTATGCCAGTAAAACTTTTAAAGGGAAAACCACGCCTTAGATGCCATCTGACATGGGCTGGGGACTGCATTTGCTGAAGGTGTTTTAAACGCCATTTAGTACGTTCAGAAAACAAGCTTAGAAACAGTGGAGCTGCATTCTGATCTTCTGCCCTTGTAAATCTGGAGTAACTGTATTGACTTCCGAGAAGTTACTCTGGATTTGTACTAATGTAAATGAGTTCAGAATCTGCCCCATAATTTTAAAAGTTGGTTGAAATATGGCTTGGTCTTGTCTACCATGGCTGGCTGAAATTTGTTGAAACCAAATCAGACCGAGCTGATTCTAAACAATATTTGAACCTAAGTTCTCAGCCCAATGAATATAGGGCCTCTCTCTGGGATTTTATAATTGTTGCACATTAATTCACACTGATTGTACTAATTTTGATTGATCCTATTTAAAAGAAGAAAACCCAACCAAACAAAACAACCCAAAGCCTTCTTTCCCCACTGAAGAGGATTAGAGTAATGACAAAATCCTAAATTGGGTGTGCATGAATGAGATCAAATATTACAGGAAATAAAAAATATCCGGAAGAGTTTATTTATGGAGTTATTCCTTTAAAGGCCTGATCCAGTGCCCATCAAAATGAATGTAAGGACTCCTATTGACGCCAAGTGATGTTGGGGCATGCCCTTAGTTTGATGGAATGTAAACTGAAAAATCTACCTTAAAGTGCATGTTTTTTTTATGGTTTAGATACTTCATGCGTCTCAAAATCCAGCAATTTTACTCTCTCTTTTTTTCTGCAAAACAAACAAGGACTCAGGACAATATTTGCCTGAGTTTACAGATTTCATTTTCTGTCTAAAATATTTCAGAGACATTATTGAAGAACTAAGTGCACTAAGGAAAATAAATTAGCATGTTAGTCTCTTGCTATACTTTTTCAACAGAAAATAATTAGCATTTGTTTTGAAAATAAACTATGGCAAATTATGGGGAAAATTCTGACAGATAAAGATACTTATCATGAAAGCTATGCCCACTGAGACAGAATCTCACTGCATTTACTATGGCTTTCTTCAAATCCCACAGAGAATCTAATTTACAGGTCCTCTGCAATAAGAAGCACAGAGAACTGAGGTCAGTGGGTCAGGGTTACATATTTACGTGAGTGCGTAGCATCAGACAGTCTCAGAAATAATATGTAAGGTTATATGTAGGGCCATTGCAGGTATAGGGGCACATGCTAGTAGTACTTTTTCAACATATAAATTTACCTGTTTAGGAGGTGGCTATGTCAATTTCCCTGCAAGGTGACTGATGGCCTTTAAACCCTATTGTAATTGTGTTGTATTGATTTGGAATCTGTGATTAATATTGTCTTTATTGAGGGAGTTTTAAATATAAATTGCATCATTCATCTGTTGGTGAAGGCAAAAGACAAATGCTACCAAGGTCTATTTATACTGGGCACAACTGCGTCCTTTGCAGTGAACTTTGCAGGAGGAGGCAGGGTGGCATTTGGGGGATAAGGAGGCAGAGATCTTTCTTCACCCCAACCTTCCTCCATGCTGCTGGGTAGGGCTGCGTCTTGAGCTGGTTGGGAAAATTTGACAAAAATGGTACTGACATTTTTCATTCCCCAGCTCCATTTTCTCACCAAGTGTAATTGCAACATAGCATTCCAGTTTGTGCTCCTACTCTGACTGGTGCACTAAAACACTGGCCACTCAGGCGGTGCTCAGCACCTGGCAGAATTGAGCCCTCGGTAACTAACAACAACAGGTGAACCCTGCATAAGCCAAATTCCCTCTGAGCTGTGCCCAGCTCCCACTTATGCACTGCCTCAGGCCCCAGGCCTCGTAAGGCCTTTTCTTCAGCCTCACAAGGCTCTGCAGACCTCACCCTGCTTTCTTCCAAAGCCACCACTCTCCTAAGCCTTATTTCTTAATGCAAATTAGAAAATGAACCTTTGGTATAAATGGCCTCGTTTATATGCCAATAAATATGGCACTTTATTTATTATTGTAGTTTATTAAAAATGATTGGAGGGGTGGGTGGGAAGAACACTAGAAAATAATCCTTCCTTATAAATGTATGAGAGTTGACCCAATAACTTGTAAAAACTCCTTGGGACTTCACCCTTTACTGTGTTAATATATAATTATTGATTTTTAAAATGACTTCTTATATCCTCTATGATCGCTAAAGGAGCCAGTGAGGTCAGTCTTGTAACTACTTTTACAAGTAGGTAATAAAAATCCTTATGAAGTTGCATTGACAAGTAATTACTGGATATGTTAGCTGATTTTCTAAAGTTTTTTTTTTTTTTTTTGTAAATTGTAATTGAACTAGTGATAGCCACTTTTAAAAGCTAGATATCCTCCCCTCCACTCCCACACAACCCCCTGATACCTGGACAATTAGGGCCTTATTTACAAAATTACTGAGCACTTTCAATTCTCATATTTTAGGCTCTAAGTAGTTGCTAATTCTACACACCCCTTTAAAAACCATTTAAAAAAAAAGGTGAAATGGCTTGTTTTGACATGTACAGTAGCAGAAAGGGGGCCATGGTTTCTAAATAAATCTTGCAAAGCTGAACAGAAGAGGAACAATTCTTACTGCTTTATTGCAATGCAAAAGCATAAGCAGCTTGGATATGTGGTGTACCAATATGCCACTTGTTAATAAGCAGAGACATGAATCATAAATATTCGGCTGTTTGATCACCAGGTTTTTAATTAATGTTTTGATGATCTCCAATAAGAATAACAGTCAGAACGATAGATATTGAGTAGATGCGACAGAGAAAAGATGCAATGATTTTCTGTGTTACTTGATTTATATGACAGATAAACTATCAACTCATCCTGCTTCAGACACAGAAAGAGAGAGAGAGATGTATATTTTCTTTTTTTATATATCTTCTTATAAAAAAAAAATCGTCCCTTAATTCAAAAGTGTATTTAAAATGTTCCCAAAGGACAGTGATGCAGGCAAAATAATCAAGGTTTAGAATGGTGTAATAAAGGTTTGTGGCCAGATTCTAAATGAAGTAGCTGTTCCAGCGCTTAACTATGCAGTACCTAGTTTTCTTGAATAAATCAGGCTCTGTTCTCTAGGCTGGTATCGATCCTTTACTTGTGTTCTTTGGGCCAGAGCTTCTTCTGGTGTAAATTGGCATAGTTCAGCTAAAGTTAAGGGAGTGATGCAGATTTACCCTTGCTGAGAATCTGGTCCAACAGATCTAGCCCTGTGACATCATCAAGCTCTTGCAAACTTGCAAAGAGGAACAATGGCGCTACTCTTGCAAACTCGCTCCCCACCCCAGTAGCCCCCATAGGCATTTTTTAAATCTTTTCATACACGCAGCAACCTGTTATTTACCAAATAAATAAATGAAATAAATAAAACAAAGAGAGAGTGCACCCTGTAAAAAAGAGAGCACAGACCTTCCACTAGAGAAAGCGGTAACTTTTCATCTCTGTTTGCACTCACTGGTCCCAACGTGATTGTATGTCAGCATAATTCATATTAGAGTGCATGTTCTATTACCCAATTGCTACAAATGCCTCATTTTACATGTCTCTCTGCTGAAGGAGAAGGTCTGCTTGAGGGAAGGAGGGTAGTCCAGGCATGACAGATTGTAGAGACAGAGTTTCCTCTTGAAGAAATGAACCCATATCTTCATGGTTAATCTCACTAACAGGGTGTCAGAATCTGGTCTGTGAATAAAGAGAGAACCAAAGGGCCCTACAGCCCAAAATATTGAGGCTTGATTCCCCAAGTATCACCTCAACCCCCACTGACTTGAATGGAATGGAGGGGGCTTAGTGACTCAGTACTTTACAGAATCGGGCCCGCAGTGCTGTTAAAAATAATAAAAGGCAGCAAAAATGTTGCACCTATAGAGCCTGCTTCCATTGAAATCAATGGCAAAATGTTCACCGGCTTCAGTGTAGAGCAGGATTAGGCCTGTCAGAAGTCAACAGGAGTTTTGCCAATTGAGTGCAGTGGGAACAGGATCAGGCCCCAGCCCCTAGTATTTGCTAATGTATTTTATGTCACAAAATGGATTTATTTCTTTATTAAGAAAGAGAAAAATTCTTGGTGCTGGAAATATCCATGTTTCCCCCAAGTGGAATTTGATAGTAGTGCTGGACTCACACTGCAGGAACCGCCCCCCTTCCCCCCACTACGTAACTTCATTTAATAATCCTGATTTGGACAGTGCAATTTAACAGCTTCAGAGGAAACCCAATGCTAATGCATTGATTTCACTTTAATAGAATTTTGTTGTCAATGGACAGGGCTTGGCACAGTGCAGGCTTCAATCTTAACCCATCTGAAGTCTCTGTTCATTTCCAGTTGAGCTCCGTTCATTTCCAGTTGAATAGGTTAAGCAAAGACAGACCTCACTGTTCTCAATTCACTTTATGATCCTCCCATCATAAAAAATAATATCAGCACCTTGCTTTTCATGTCAGGACTACATTTGAGCTGCTATTCCCTATGCCCATGAGTAAATCCCGTAAAAGCCGCCCCGTTGTACTGTCGCTATTTTTCCTTGTGGATGATTGATTGATGGATGAGTGCTGACACTTCAATGAAGCTATTTCGACTGCCATCTCAATCCGATGATGTGAGGGGTATATTTTCTGTCCATGCCTCATTACTTCAGAATGACATTCCTGGAACTTCATTTACTTTTTCCCTCCTTCCCTCAAGCGCCATATTTTTCCCCATCTAGGTTATGCATGCCATAAAAAAAGCAATTTGCTATTATATGTGGCATAAGGGCAACACGTTTCCTAGGAAGTAAATAACAAGGACCCTCCCCCCCCGATGTTGAGTTTAGGGATCATGTCAAAATTTCCCAAACAATTCCAACATAGCCCACCCTGCATTGGAAATAAGGAATATAATAAATATATTTAGATTCATTTTGCCATGGCTGAATTTTTATTTTATCCTTGATCATCTAAATAAAATAATTAAAAAGCAAAGGCCCAAACCCTCGCGTTTGAAAAAGATCCACATCTCAATTTTGTGCCGAGCATACTTTAAATCTTTCATCTATAACTGAGTAGCAGTTTACATCTTGATCCAGACTTATTTGTCCATTGAGAATAAGGAAATTCATTCTTTAAATGCAGTGATGAATTTATCTGTAATAGGTTGCATTAGTTGTACAGCAATTGCTCAGCTAGAGTAAACAGAGCGGCGCCTGACGAGCTTGATTTTCCATACAGTGCACTAGGTAATGTGAGGTTTGTAATATTAAAACATCCTGGAAGCTTTTCTGAGTTGACTCAGAACCCGATTTTAATCTGTGTAATACAGTATTCCCGTTAATAATAACGTATAATTAAGACATCCGTTAAAAATCCATAACGTTAATTTAATGGAGAAAATCTAATACAGTTCTATTGGAATTTTTACGTTAAATTAACTTTAACGGGCTTTTAATGGATGTCTTAATTAGATCTCATTATTATCATGAATATTCCACAAATTAAAATTGGGACCTCGAAGTTTTAATGAAAAAAGTTACAGGAACAAATTTTAAATTGAAGCCCTCCCCTCCTACCCTACTGGGTTGCAGCTGATGTTAAAAGTAAGCTGTGCTTTGTGTAGTAATAGACAAGCCCAATAGACAGTATGAAGGCCAGATTCTGATCTCATTTGCAATAGCATAAATCCAAAGTAACCCCATTGACAGTAATGGAGATGAATTTGGTTCTTATTATATATATATAAATATATATATATATATATAATATATATAATAATGCTCAATGATCTAACAATAGTGCTTTTGTTTAAAAATCACTCCATTGCATATGTCTTGTCATATGCAGTAATGGAGACTTAAAAAAAATATATATCTGAGGAATAAAACAAACTGAAAATAATCCATTTTAAACAAATCTTTGGCAGCAACTTGGTTAAGCATAATTATTTGAACAACTTGCACAGAAGATTAACATTGTTCAGAGTTTTTTTGGCTCAGAATCTGTTTTAACTTAATAATTCTTCTACTTACTGTGATGTATTGATCCCTAGTGCAATGACTGGATTGAGCAACCCAGGTGCAACAGTAATAGCTGCACTGAATAGAAACATTTCCTTTAGACAAACTATCCCAAAGGGGTTATAAATAGGAAATGGACATTACCATGAAAAGCAAAGCTTCCAGTGTGACGGCATCTTGTGTAGCACACTTGGACATTAAACTATGAAGAAGTATACTTTTTTTTTCCCTGTCAAGTGTTACAAATTGATGAAATAAGTACATCAGTGTTCTCAGTCATTATCTTACTTCAGTGGCACTTTGTTTTAGTGACAGCAAAAAGGGACAGTGGAGACTAGACAGCCCCAGTGCAGTTTATCAATGAAAATCTAATATCGTCCATAAGCAGGGGAGTGGAAATCAATACTTCATTACCAAATTGTTAGTGAGGATGAAGAAGAATAGCTGGAGTGTTTTTGGCAGTCTTCTCGGTCCGGGTTGTCGGGAGTTCAATGTCAGGAGTGGAGTGACGCGTGGAGACGGGCTCAGTGCAGGAAGCCTGGGCTGGAGAGCTGGAACTAAGGCATTTGTCCTGTAATCAGAATAATAATATATATGTATATATTATTGTACTTAAAATAATGAATCTAGGTTTTATCAAAGACATATTTTTCTCAATAATTTCCCAGCTTCAGTTTCTGTGACATCCCAGAACAATTCAGAGGCTCTCAGAAGCCAGAGATTGACCAAAAAGAAAAAGGAAAATTAAATCCATTTGTGCCTTGGGATAAGTGTCTGTAGCTCCACATGAAGTCGAGTTGTTGCAGCTGCTTATGCCATATCTGAATCTAGCCCACCAAGTCCATCACGCTGCATGTCCCAAACATATACTAGGTTTACCGTTCTCTAGCAATGAGCATTACCTGTTCAGTACAAGGAACCTTGTATTATTCTGATCAAAGGGATGTTGTAAGATCCTGGCTGAATGGATATTTTGGTATCTATCCATGTTGCCTCTAAACTTGGAGGCCACCATCATGTTATTTCTGGTCATTCCTGGAAATAATGTTCCCTTCCCACAACCCAGCTCTCTGCTACTAAAACTGTGGCTCTTCCATGAAAATCTCTGCTACTGAACATGCTAAGTTTGTGATGTGACTTCTAGATAGGGATAGAGAGTTACTTTTACCTAATTTTAAGTTGTGGGTTTTAAAGTTTAATTCAAATTTGAGTGCTTTTTGGCTTACGTCCTGGGAGCAAGAGACTGAGAAAAACATCAGACAAAAAACACAGTGGAAAAATAAGGTGAAAAATGGAACAGAGACTTAAACAGAGTGAAATCCAATACAGAAAGAAGGTGGAAAAAGGATCAGCAAGGGACAGAGAGAGAAATGTGTTTATGAAAAAAATACAGACTAGTCAAGGCCCATGTACTCTGCAGCAAGCAGGATGAAATTATGGGGAATTGTCCCTCAATCTGGCTCAGCAGACTGCAGAACCAATGGTAGTTTAATTTAAATCAAAAATAATGTGATCTTTTTCAATAAATTCAATATGAAAATGAAAACTACCAACAGTAGAGTAGATTCCATGTTATTTATTTTGATATTCAGTTTGATTTACAACCTCCCCATGTTTTCAGAAGGATGCAGAGTTTTGCATTGACCATGCACAACTGCAATGGAGAAGATGGTAGGAGAGAAGCTGGAGATTGCCGCAAACAGTGGGGAGGGCACCCAAGCTTTCAGCACCCAAGAATGCACGACAGGCAGTCAGATGGTGGGTAAGTACAGTAGCTGGATATTTCCACTAAAATGGTAAATGCCATGGTTAATGATGACATTTTAAAATGTTGTCTTTAGATTTCAGAGTCAACACTCCACTGAGATGAATGGGGTGATTCACACCTTGCAGGGCTGATGCTTGAGGTGGCTTTCTGACTAAAGGACAATACTGCCTCACTTTACACCGGCTTCACATTTTTGGGGTTTTCTTCACAGACAAGACGGCTAGAAACATAATTATTTAAAAATGAAAGCTTTGGGTACGGTTACACAATAAGTGCTACAATGGCACAGCTGCGGTGCTGTAGCTATGGTGTAGCATTGTAGTGTAGACACTTTCTGCGGTAATGGAAGGGGTCTTTCCATCGCTGCAGTAAATCCACCTCCTCCAGGCAATAGCTAGGTTGACAGAAGAATTCTTTTTTCAGCCTAGTGGTTTCTACAGTGGGGCTTAGGTTGGCTTAACTGCATCTCACAAGGGTGTGAATTTTTCATACTCCAGAGCAACATCGCTAGTTTTAGATATAGACCAGGCCTTAGATTCTGCAGTAAGGAAGAAGTGGATTCTGTGGCAAATTTTATAGTTGCAGAATCACTGCACACAAAGGATCCTGAGTATGTACGCTGCACATAGACTGCACCAACTTGTGCATCAAGCTTTTGGAGGGAGTTTTCTAAACCTAACCCAGAATGAAACACACCTGTGGCACTCTACTTAAGCCTTTTGTTAGGGCTGTGTTCAGGATGCCTACATACCCCATAGAAGCTGAGAAGGCAGTCTTTGGATTGGTCCCATACTGGCCAGTGTGGAGGGCATGCTTCCAGAGAATATTGCTTTCAATGGTATTTGTTAGGAAAGCTATGTTGCTGCCTGGGCATTTATTTTAGTGTGGCTCAACTTTCAATATCCAGAAAGGTAAAGTGTATAACTTTAATTATGATCTAAACATTCCTTTGGTGCTGTTCATTATGCTGGTCTTGTGCAGCATATGTGAAGCATTAGATGCAAAGACATTGAGACTTTGCTTTTATTTAACATTAATTATCAAGCCGTCAACAGATGTAAAAGTTATATCTATTTTAATGCAGATGTGTCAGGACTCAAAATTCCTTCCCGTAAGCACCTTCCCACTCATACAGCAAACACCCTCCCTCTCATCATTTGAATCCCACCATAAAACTTCTGTGAAGCCTTTTGAAGAGCAGTTCTTTGGTGTGTCTGTAATTTGAGACTGGACAGCTAACCATTTGTCAACAGCTAAGGGGTGTGTGTGTGTGTGTGTATGGAATCAGAACTGCTCAACTGTGCATCATAGGTCCTATACTGCCCTCAGTTCCATGCACAAGGCACTGCACTTTATCTGCCTTCTCTCTCATCCCAATCAAAAGTTATACTAATTGCACTGCAGTTTACATCCAGCTGGTATGATAGAATGCATTGCCTATGCTTTTCACATCAAACCCTTTCCATGGGGATTTATATCAAAAATGGTTTGTCAGGACCTATGGAAGAACTATGGCCCTCCAGACCCAATAGGATGATGGGAGACTCATCTGTTTACCATTTTTCCTTACAGTTTCAGGCCTTTGTTAAAATAGTTTTATCAATTCTTTATCAGTTGGATAATAATAATAATAATATTATATAATTAATTAAAATGATAATGCTTAGCTCTTATCAGGACCTGATCTGCCCATTGAAGTCCATGAAAAGACACTGACTTCCATGAGTTTTGGATCAGACCCATATAGTGCTAAAACAGTTGGATATAAGATGCTAATTTGCAGCACTACAGAAAGACACAGGCAATTGCTATGGGGTTACCAAACGTTTTATGGCAGCAGAAAATCTGTTCCTTAAAGAGTAAATGTTCATATGTACAATATCCAACTAGTAAGAAAGAAGAGATCTGGGTAAATTTTGCTTGACGTAAGACTCTTTTGACAACTAATGATAATATTTCAGACTCTAAATGCTGTCTGGTT